TAATCATGGTTTCTCAACTTCAGCCCTGTTGACATTTTGGGCTGGAATTTTCTTTGCTGGGAAGGACTGTTCTGTTCCTTGTAAGATGTTTAACAGCATCCCTTGCCTCTACCCACTAGATACCTGTGTCATCGCCCCAGTTGTGACAACCGTAAATGTCTCCAAACACTGCCAAACATACCCTGGGGGGAAGTCACCCCTGCTTGAGAACCACTCTGCTAAATAAATGTTCCCCTCTGTCTCTGCCAATGTTTAGAGTCAGCTAGGGATTTGCATGCCTATTTACTTTAAACATTTGCATTTAATTCTGTCCAATGCATTGTTATTGTGGATTTGACTGATTTTCCTTAATCAAGTGTCCGGATTATTGTAATTTTAAAAAATGGTATTTTTGACAAAGGGTTGTTAGTGGAGACTGGGGGAAAAATGGGCAGAATTTTCACAGAGAAAAGAAATTCTACACATGCAACAGTGATTCCTACAAAATATGTTCAAAATTAGGAAAAAAAAAAAGCTGAAAGGATTTAATAGAGAACATTTTGCTATTTTTTCTTATAGTGATTTTTTAGAATTTAGGTGTTAGAATGATTTCATATGTGCAGATGTATTTTCTTCCTTTGACTAAAACAAATGTTTATTCTTTTTCTTTCTCCAGTTTATATTCCTCATCACTGGCTGCTTAATTTCAGTGACTATTGTTCTAAAAGATAAATTCTAAGAGAAGAAATCTATCTGAGAAGCATATCCACCTACACACATAGATATATCAAATTGATCCTACTGCTTATAATTTAGAGATCAGTAACATTTTTGTTTTCATTTTCTCCCCGAAAAAGCACATTAACTTCACATAAATACATAGCATGAACCTTTAATTGTAAGGCAACTTCACATAATATGCATGAAATTGTTTCTAATATGATTCTGGCTTGATGTTATATTAAAATGTATTTGTTTTTAATATCCATAGAAACCAGAAGATTATTGACATGATTGGCATGTAAACAAAATATGTCATCAATTTAAAGTCATGGTAAAGCCTTTGGTATAAATGATGTGTTAAAGTAGAGTTCCTCATTTATAGCCAGAGTGTCAAGCTTGGATTTTGACACATTTCTTACTAGTTGTGTGACCTTTGGTATGCTAATTAACTTTTTCTTGCCCAGAGTAAATCTTCTGTAAAATGGAGCTATTTCATAAGACTATTTTTGAGTGATAAATCAGTTAATATATATAAGTATTTGACACATCAGAAGTACTGAATAAGTTTAGTGCTATTATTTATAATTATTGTAACTATTGCAATGTGAAGGATTTCTATCTTTGAGTCGTATCTTCAGGAAAAAAAAGTATGGGTTCTATAAATGTGAAAAGCATCAGTAACAGAAGTCTGGTCATAACAGTGTTAGAATTAACCCAAATTTATTCTGAACTTCCAAAATGGTACTTTATTTCTTTTCATCACTTTAATGCAAGTAAATATTATACAAAATGTGGAGAGTTTTAATGCAAAAAAGAAACCTGACCTAGTATGCACGTACCTAGAATTGAGTTATTTTATCTCTTTCCTCTTCTTTTTTTCTTCTAGAAAAAGCATGGGATCTAGGATCAGGGAAACTGTATTCCAAGTCTGGCTTTTCCTCTTATTAACCATAAAACCTAGAGTTAGTTTGTTAATTCTTTGAACCTCTCTTTCTTCCTGTGTAACATGGGACAGATGATAACACTTTTTACTACTGCTTACTTTCAAGCCTATGTCAATGTCACCTGGGCTCTGAAGACCTACCCTTGTCCATTCCTGGGCTGGAGCAATGTTGTCCTTTGTCCTCTAGTGTAGCAATTTTCCACAGCATTGGTTTATTTGAATCCCCCCCAGTAGATTGAGCATTATCAGCAAGTGCATCTGTCTTGGTCACATTTGCAACATTCACATTAGGGCATAGCCCAGGAGAAATCAGTCACAATAGCCATCTAACTTGGAGTCACTCCATTGCTAACTTTATTCTCATGATGCGGAGGATTATACTCTAGGTTATACTCTCTAATTCAAAGAGCCGTATTATATATAATCCTGAAAACGTGCCTGCTACATGGCTCCATATGACTAGAATCCTCCAAAGAATAAGGCAGGCAAGACAAGATTGTCTAGGTGTGGTTATCATACTATTTATCATTTTTTCCTCTTTGTGTGTTTTATGAATTGGAAAATGACAGGAATATAATATGTGAACATTGGGGATCCCATGAGGCTAAGTACCTCAGTTTTCAAGGGTTATGGGCTTTAGGCACATTGACAAAAAGATGCACTCATCTCCTTCCTGTTCATTCCATCTGGCCTAATAGCATGTTTGCCCTTTAGAAATGTAATTACACGGAGACTAATTAGTGGGCTATTGCAGTTATTAAGGTGACAGAAAAGACAAAAAGGGCTCTGACAGAGCCATAAAGATGAATATTGAGAGGCACTCTAAGAACCTTAGAAAACAAGAGTCAGTGAGCTTTGGGGACTTTACAAAACATGGAATTGTGAGAATGAGTGAAGTCAGGAGTGATAATCTGGTTTCTGATTTTACCAACTGGAGTGAATGATGGTGTTAATTATTAAGGAGGTCCTCCCCCTTATTTGTTTCATTTTTTATTCATTTTTGAGTGGGTGATATTGTTTTCTAATTTTGGATATGTTGATTTTGACATTCCAGTAAGCCCCTAGATTGACGTGGCTCAATCAGCTGTTGAAAACAGATCCACATGTCAGGAGAGAAATCATTAACTTTAGAGTTGACAGCAGCCAGCTTATACATGAGCCATATTTATGCATGATGTCATGCAGAGAAAGTATTTATCAAGAGGAAAGACAAAGGCAAACCCCTGTGGAACACCAACTTCTTTTAAAGGAGTATACGAATGAAGAGGCACTTTCTTCATTCTGCATGGGATGGTCTCAAGAATGGAAGAGTACTAGTAGTGACAAAACAAAATACTTTCAGGTCGGAAGATGAGCTCAGTCCTCTCAAGTATAGTTGCCTGCATGGTTCACATAACTGCACTATTTTGCGGGTTTGATAATTGATAGAAATTTGATATGACATTTCTGGAGAATTATGGGACTAGAACCTAAACTAGATTTAGGGGTAAATGGGCTGTGAGGCATTCGATATATGCACCATAGACCATTCTTACAGGAAATCTGACTTTGAAGGGAAGAAAATAATAAGCAGTCTTAGAGGTGGACGCAGTAATGGATAAACGTTGTAGGGGTATTTTCTTCTCTATGTGCTAAGAAGCACATAAACATTTTTGTATCCGCAAGAGAAAGGAAGGTGTAATGGGGAAAGAGATTGAAGATACTAGACAAAGAGAGGCTCACTGAAGGATTTGCATTCCTAAGGAAGCTAGAAAAAGCAGAATTAACTATCTGGATGGTATTACTCCTCTGGTGCCATTAGCCTTTTATCAAAGGAGAAGCACCTCTTTATCTGGATTTGAAAGGAAAGTGATAAAGACAATTGAGGTTGTAAATAAGTTTCAGAAATGATATAATGTATGTGAGCTTAGTTAATTAGACGGCATTATGTCAGTAACATTATAGTTATAAAGAATATTAAATCTTTTTGAAAAAAAGTGTTCTTTTTATCAGTTTTACCCACTTTTAAAGAACTGACCATTTTCACAAACACTTGATTACTGCAGAAAACTTTGTTCTTCCTTGTTCCCAGCATCTGAAATGTGCACTTAATAGCACAGCATGTCAACTTCACGATCAAGTTAATTGTTGCTCAGTGTCTTTATAGAAACGTACATTTATGTATATATGAAAGTGATCTTAATGTGCTTTGAGAATTCTTTGTTCTATTCAAATGACTTCTTAGCATGATTAGAACTACTGAGGTTGTTAATATATGCTGATGGCACAGGTGACTGTTCTTTAATTTCCAAATGCTTTTCTACAAATATTTTCTCAAGATGCCCATTATATAATAAGCTGAGTATTTTAAAATACTCAACAAAATAAGTTTTTATAAGTAGCCTTCTCTTTTCTCAGAGCGCCATTTTACCAGTCTTTCAAAGTCCTCAGAATCTACTGAGTTGAAACTGCAGTTTGAGGTGATAACAGAAGTATTCAGGCCCAATAGATGTGCCCAGTGTCTGTAAGATACTTACTAATTGCAAGAGAGTGGGGATACACAAAAAGCCCTTTGTGAGAGCTCTTTGAATTTAGTTCATTTCCCTGGCACCATATTTTCATAGACATGATTGTAATTGATTTTCATTTAGGTCAGGAGGGTGGGGTCTGCAATGGCTGTGATATTACATGTGGCTACAGCCTAAGGAGCCTCTTAGGAAGGACCGTATAAGTCTTAGGGTCTATAGAGAAAGGTGTGTTTCAGAAGAGTGAACTGAAATTTGCAGTGTTCTGAAATTCAAGCTTATTTGACTAACTGCAAATAGGAAGGAAATAGCATGTGGATATCCCTCAGTCTTTTTCTTTGTTCCTTTATGGCATTTAATTAAATTCTGACTCTTTTTACTGTTGACCCAGACTACCTCTTGTCTTTTGAGCAGTCATGAGCCAATATTTCCCAAGCAACATGACTAGTGAGAGAGGCATCTCATGTTTCCATATATTTATCACTGCCTTAGACGAGTTCCCTTTACAACGTGATGAGAAAATGTGCATGCTCTAAGAAGAAATCCAGGTGGCTGGTAATTCTAGTGGGAGAGAAAAGACAGCTAGAAAGGGGAAAGTTCAGTGGTGGTAAAAGCCTTTTGAAAATATTTGTTAATACTTTCTAATGCAGCATAAATGCTACTGATACCAAATCCAGTGTTTTCTCTCCTGAGGAATTATTTTCTTTTACTTAGAATTTATTTTTATAGTACCAGGGCAGCATTTTTATTTCACTGTTAACCATTCTTATTTTGAGCATATAAAATAAAAATTTGTGGTTTTATATATCGTAATACAGTCCTTTCTCCAAATTTCTGTTTTCCTCATGCAGAGGGTTACTTCTACAGGAGAACAGCAGGTTTGCAGAAGCATTGCATTATTATAAATTGGCCATCGGGAGCAGGCCTACCCTGGCTTGTAAGTAATATTCAAGATTTTTTTAAAAATTCCTCTTCCATCCATGAAAATTATCTTTGTGACCTAGTCTCATAGAAAAAACACTTGGTGCTCCTTTTTCTGAATACTTGCTTCTCAAATTATGGACCTCTAACTACTATATGTCTCTCAATTCCATCGCATTTTGATGTCCATTTATCATTTTAAAAAATAGTACAATAGCTAAAATGTTTACTCAGTTTTTAAGTTCAAAAATACTTGGAATTCCTTGAGGACAGACACTATGTTATGTTTCTCAGTGATACTTGCAATTCCAACTACCAATATTGATGGTATAAGTATTAGCCTATCAGTATTTATTTCTTTGTTTTCTATTAAAATCAGAAAGAATCCATAGAAAGTAATCTGAAGCAAAGATAACTTTATTTTATCCATAATGTGTACCATCTTCTCACTCTTCTGTTTTCCACTTTTTTCTCTCAGCTGCATATTTGAACACTGGTATTATTCTAATGAACCAAGGAAAAACTGAGGAAGCCCGTCGTACGTTCCTAAAGTGTTCTGAAATCCCGGATGAAAACCTAAAAGACCCTCATGCACACAAGAGCTCTGTTACCAGCTGTCTGTACAACATGGGAAAACTCTATCATGAGCAGGGACACTATGAGGTCTGGTCAAAACCCATATCCTTTTCCTTCTGCCTTGTTGTGATCCAAATCTCAATGTTTTTCTAACCTGCAATCTCTTTGGAGGGCTGCTGCTGTCCTTTGAGAAACTAATATGTGTTCACATTAAAAGGGTTTCGTGATTAAATTTGTTTGGGAAAAACATCTGCTAAATAAAAATTCACAGATTTTTGTCGCATGAGTTTCTCAGAGCAATTAATACGTCAGTATGTATTGCAACCACTCAAGAAAGGGAGATAACATGCATCGTTTCTCAAGCTTATTTGCTCACCATTTCTTTGACTTTAGGATCCAAGAAACAGTTTCTAGAATTGTTACCCTAACCCAGTATTTGACATTTTCTAAATATTCAATGGGGCTTCAAACAGTTCATTGTAAAATCCATGTTATCTTTTAATTCCATCATTCCACAAACTTTCTGAAGTACCCTTGTACTGTTCATACTCTGAGTTATTAAGAGAGTGATTTGATGTAAATCTTAGCTATTTCTCTTTTAAAAACTATAATGAAATAAAAACTAACTTTTTTATTTGGGGGAAAAGGAAAAGTGGTGTGACAGGATGTTGTATTGTAGGTTGGGAGGGGACCCAGGCTTGTCCTCCCTTTCTCTGACAGGAAGAGTCGATGTGTACCTCACTGCCCCTCTTTCCCTTTTCAAACTGTTCCCCCTGCCCACATACTCTTCCACATTGCATTAAGACTGCAATATAAAGGGCCAACCCCGTGGCGCACTCGGGAGAGTGTGGTGCTTGGGAGCGCAGCGACGCTCCTGCCTGGGTTCGGATCCTATATGGGAATAGCCGGTGCGTTCACTGGCTGACGGTGGTGTGGGCGACACCACACCAAGGGTTGTGATCCCCTTACTGGTCACGAAAAAGACAAAAAAAAAAAAAAAGACTGCAATATAAAGATAGAGGTACAACTTTTAAAATAATTGCATTTAATAATTTGTAAGCCTCAGTAGTTGGAAGATCTGTTTAACTGATACCATATTTAGTTCCTACTGGATTGTCTGACTTTAAGTAACCATGGAGTTTAGCTGAGTAATGGGTAACTACCAAATACGATTTTTTAAAAAGTTTTTTTATTTAATAATGTATGTGAACTGGAAAATTTATATTAAAAGACCATTGCTAACATTGAACTCCTTAAACTGAATTTTTATATTCTTCACTGACTGGGCTATTTTTATTCGTGAAATTGAAATAGTATGCTATCAAAGGACAGCTCAATTATTTTTCTCTAGTGAACGATTCAGAAATAGCAATGGATGGTTTTATCTTTGGAAGAATGTTATTTTCTTTTTGGTGAATATCCCTGTACTTTAGTGATGATTTATTTTTTTTTATTTCTTAAATTAGGAAGCCCTTAGTGTATACAAGGAAGCAATTCAGAAAATGCCAAGGCAGTTTGCCCCACAGAGCCTGTACAACATGATGGGTAAGTAAAACATTAGTATTTTAATCAGTTTTTCAGGGACCTGTAGAGAAAGGAAAATCTGTGCTTGTGTTAAATGGAGTTCTAATAATCTCATTAATCCTCACAAAGAAACCTTGTTCACAATTGGATGTAACATTCAGATTTTGACAAAGCACACTTGTTCTGACATGAGCAAATAAATGCATTAACATAGTGATTCCCAACACATTGTCCACATCCCAGAACTGTGGCAAGGAATTCTCAAACCATCTGGATATGAGTAATAGCTAGACTCTAGAGATTGAAAAAGTAATATCTTGTGCATAATGTGTAATTTTTCAAGCATGTTTACAAATGAATAAAATACACATTAATTTTAATGAATTTATGAAATGCATGATAATTTTTGATTGTTATCTTCTTAATCAGAAAATATTCTAAAGTAAACATCATACGTATGATGTAGAGATTCATGAACTTCGATGCTAATAAAAGATTACGTAACTGACCCAACTTGTATGGTTTTCATTGTTTAGGCCTTTGATCTCAGGGTTTTCCAGAGTAATATTTTGGAATAAGAAGAAGATTGGGAAGACTGTAAATGTGCTACTGCAATTATTCCACGTTGAATAATTAGTTTAATTCTCTTGTTAGTCAGAAATTATATAGATCTAGAGCATGGATTTTTCTAGGTAAAGAGATTAAGAACTAGAAATTCTAATAGAATATTGATGTATCACCAGTGATCGATCCCTGACTGCCTTGTTGTAAATTGTTACCACAGCTGTTTGATAGTGGACATAACTGAAAACTGCCTATTCAGCATGTAACTCCTGGAAAAAAAAAAAAATCCCTAAAGTTTAAGATGCCCTGCTGATTGATTAACGTTGCTATTTCAAGATGAGAGAGAAGAGAAGGGGTTGTTTTTATCCTCAACTCAAATGTTTCTTTTTCTTTAAAGCAGAAATTGCAAACTCAGATTTTGCCTTCTCATTAAACCTGGCTCAATTGTTTAATATTTCTAAGCCTCCTTCATGCATATAAAATAAATGAGATTAGACTACATGATCCCCAGGATTATTTTACACTTCTGTATTCTACGATTTGAAAATGATATGTGCTGTATGGCTTGAGCATACACAAAGAAGTCCCAAACTGAAAAATATACACCTGGCAAGAATACTCATGATCTCTTTTTGCCAAATGACAGAAAATTCAGAAATAGTTCAGTGATAGAATGGGGCACAAGTTGGTAAACAGAAAAAAAATTATTGGGAAAAGGTTAAAATATTCATTCCACATCTCTGGGAATCCTGCTTCCAGTTTGCCTGTGCAGCAGAAGAGTGATTTAATGTTCATATTAAAGAGGACAGCAGAGTACTTTTTAGTTTTGGGTTTTTTTTTTTCCCCAATCTGGTATAATTATTAAAAGGTAAAATCTAGCTTCATTAACTGTATGTTTGCCTTAAACTTTTATGAATTACAATAGTGCCTTTTACTAAGCAGCATTTTACCATCAATCTGTCTACGTGAATTAAATGTAGATGTGCTGAGGGCCTGCAGATTTATCAGTTGAATTAACTTTTTTGTATCAATGCAGGATGTTTTTCATGTCAAAGTAAATACTAAAAGGATAACTTTATCTTTGTTAAAG